TCAGAATGAGTAGCAACGTATGAAATAAGAGGAGATAATGTTAAAGGGACATCATCAGTGGGAACTCTGGTCCATTTTCTGTTACAAGTGTTAGGACTGAAAAGAATTTTAAGCTGTGGTCCTATTGTGAAAACACATGAAAGCCATATATCTCATCTTGAAAATAACTTCTAATAAGCTTCATGAGCAACTGGCAAAATAGTGACATTTATTCAAACAGCTTTTCAACATACAGAACAGGAGCATGGCAGAACTAGTAAGGTAGTACGAAAAATGAGATTTTGAGGAAAGTATGTAATCTGCAAATACTTCTTTCAATGAAATATTAAAATAATTGAGCCTTAAAACAGGCACATATTAAAATGTGGTGGGTAGCATCAAAGAATTTTACCATTTCCTGCACTGTTCCTGTTGTGGTTGTTTTTTCTCTCAGTGAAAAATCTGGTGCAAAAAGATGAAGGGTGAGAAAGAGGCAAATGTGGGGCGTGCCCAGCTCAAAGAGAGGGCTGGGAAGAGAAAAGCAGGGCTCAGCCGGGTGTGTTTGTAGTCAGTTGGCTTTGCTTTTGCTGTTACTATGAAGCAAACTTACTAATATCTTCAAACTGAGGGAGCTTACCCTGCGAGGGGTAGTTCTGCCTCGTATGGCTTCAGCTGTGTAACGAGCCAGTGATGACAGTATTCACATTCTACATGTTAAATAAAGCTAAGCTGAGTATCTTCTTGTCCCCTGGTGTCTAGAAAGAAGTTAGTGTACCAGAGCTGCAAATACACCGAGTTGTTCCCTTCCGATCCACTTTGTTTTCCTGTTTTTTGTAGGTAAAATGTGTCCTTTTTAGCTCATGGGTGCTGTGCCAGGCAGCCTTGGAGATGTCCAAAATAACTGTATATGCTATTAGAACCAAAAAGCTCACCTGTTGCCTTTGTCTCTGAACATCCCTCAGTGCTGGTGTCAGCCAGCCCTGTAGGGAAGAGGGACCATGGCTCAGCTCCATAAGAACATCACCTCCCTTGGGACCTCTGTTTGTCCCTTGGACCTCACTCTTGGTGCCAGTTGCTGGGACCTGCCCTGGTTCCACATGTCCAGTTTTGCCTTTCCTAACAGGAGCTGTCAGGTGGGGAGGGGACCAGTATGGGGTAAATCTGCTGGTTATGCCAATCTGGCAGTGATGAGTGGTGGCTTTACTGCTGAAATCTCTCTCTGCTGCCTAGTGACCCAGCATTGAGTTGACCCCTCTGGTTAGAAATCATATGGACATTTCACAGGTGTCATCTGAGATTTTAGAAATTTGGGTAGATGTCGGGTAGGTTTTTCTTAAAGCACTGACTGGAAGAAAGAGTCCTGTTACTACTTTCTGATGTATTCACTCCATAACCCTATAATTATTTTAAAAACTACTTGTAAGTTTAATTGGCATATTCTATCATGTTGCTTTGCTTTGTATCTTCAGAGAGTCTTTCACTAGATGAAAGTACCTCATTTTTTAGTGCTGTTGTTCTCAATAAGTATCTCCTCTGTGAGGTACTCTTTTATTGTTCAGCCATTTGGTAAAAATGAAGGTTTCTCTACAGGTTGTGTCTAATCTTATTTTGTATGCTTGCTTATTTTAATGAATTTATTACATATGTCAAAAACGAAGTCAATGTGGAAATATTAACTTGCAGCACACCTCTCTTACGGCTGTGAAGACTGAGATACAGTTACATCCCTAATAGTGGATTTTGGAGATGCTTTTGGAATACAACCGTTCCAAGTTCTTACTGTTATATCCTTCCCTTCACATCAGATGGCATTCAGTGACAAGCATAAAGACAGTACTGCAGTTACTTTGCCTCTTATTTATCTAGTATTTTTACTACTTTACTGGCTGTGCAGTAGCAGAAATGATAGCAGATGAAATCATTATGGAAGGAGCTATACTAGTTCAAAGAACTACATCAGAGCTTTAAAAATGAAAATTAAAATGAGTAGATGAGACATTCTTTAGTTTTCTTTGTTCTGAGATTTAGATGTAAATATTGCGATGATTTAATCCTTTTTTTAGTACCTCATAGCTGCAACAATTTTATTGGTCTGTATCTACTTCTTTATTATCATTAGTAGAGGGATATAGCCCTATCTTTCGTCTGTTCAAGCTCAGCAAAGCTGGAAACAGATATTTTGTTAAAAGTTAATTCCTTTTAGTAAATTAATTTCTATCTGCATTGCCCTGTGACCTTTTCATCCCCACCATGAACACTTCTGAAGACTTCAGAATGTGAAAGTACAGATTGTGCCTTTGTTGTTGAGTTCATTTTAAAGGGAAAACAATTATGAATACCTTATCAAAAAATAGAATATATAATTATTGCTGGTTGTTACCTGAGAAAAGTTTCTTAGGGGTAATTAAGTTAGAATTTGTGGGTTTTCTTGAGACAAATATGCCCTGAACATTTCTGGGTTTTTATTTACTTTCATGGTTTATACCTAAGTAGGCTATGCTCTACATTTTTCCCCCCATGTAATTTTTCCGTCTATAATGAGAGTGGCACTATTGGAGATTAAAGCACCTGATGGAGCTGCTGTCCTGTCCAATGCTCCTTGCCCTGTGGGACAGCAGCTGCTGTGAGGAAGCATTTCCCCCACAGCCTCCTAAGTCTTTTCCCATCTTCTGTCATGCTTTCTTCAGAAATCAGGGGAAGATGTTTTCTGTAACAAATAAACCACAGGAGGGTTGAGTGAAGTGTCCTCTAAATAGGATGATAATTTAAGATTACTTAGAGACTTCAGTTAATACAAAACACAGCTTTGTGTTTGCTTAGCCAGGCTAATCTTGAGGAGCTTGTTACACCAATGTGCTTAAACCAGCATGTTACATATCCTTAAAACTTCATAGGTGTCTCGAGAGATCCAGTTTTTCAGCTGCTTCTTAGCAGCCTGGGTCTTGTGTTCTTGAGGGAAGGCCTGGACCTCTGCTGTTCTGCTGCAGTTCAGTTTGGTGGAAGCCTGCTTGAGTTGGTCTGCTGTGGTGCTTGGTGGGCTTGAGCTCTGCAGTATACTGTGCTCTCAGATCAGAGATCCAAGTTGTACTGCAGCAGCTGCCCTAAGGTGGATTTTGCCTGGGAGTGAGAAAGCTGAGGTTTATGTCTTTGGGAAATTTCTCAGTTTGAAGCAAATTTGTTTAGGTTTATTGATTATTTTTTTTAAATTAATTTTTGTGCATTGATGGTATGGTTTTCAAGATTTTCTTATAAAGAATTATTGAAACTAGAGGTGGAGAAGACAAAGCGAATCATGAGCTTGTTCTTCAAACTCGTCATGTGAAGTACGTGAAGTTTTCTCAAAGAGCCTTCTGTGAACCCTGCCTGCCCTGAAGTGAAAGGGAATGCAGAAGCTTTTACCCTTAGCAGTGGTTACTGACTGAGGCCCAGCTCCTATTGTCTTGTTAATATTGTGTAGTTGCTGTAGTGTAACGGAAGTACTCATGAAATAAGGTGTTCCTCAGAATTTAAAAGAATTCTGCTAGAAATGAGGAGGAAACCAAGGAGAAACACAAGAAAGTCAACATTATGTACCCAAACCTGAAGTAGTATCTGTCTATAGTGGTGGTGTTGCAGTGATTGGTGCCATTCTTCTGATAAATACGATGTAAATTCGATTATTTTTTGTGCAGCAGAGTTAACTGGTTAAGCATTTCTCTCCTCAAAATTCCAGTAAAAAACCTGAGTTTACTTGTGCTTCATATGCATCTTTTTCTGTTATCTGTGAGTGAACAAATACCACTTTTTTTTTTTTTTTTTTAAATTCAGTATTTCCAGAGAGTAGATTTTAGAAAACAAACTTAAGCACTGAGGAAGCTCTCTATCTATTTGAATTTTGAATACTGATAACTTGCAGCAAAAGTTTGCAGTCTGCAGAGTATGAGGCTTTGCAAGTGTTTGCTTAAAAGTTCAGGAAGTGTAAATTTCAAAAGGAGTGAGCTTCTGCTAATAGTTCACAAACCAAAGATAGAGCCGAATTTGCTGCAAATTGTTTCAGCTGCTAGGCATAATGCATAAGTTCTTCAGAAACAAAAGTAGCGGGTCAGATTCCACACTGAACAAATAGTAAATCAGGTGTCAGGCCACAGATTTAAGGATTGATGGGTTTGTGAGAAGTGGAAAGAAAGAAGTTGTTGGTAGTCAGCTGGCTGCTAGAAGCGCTTTCAGTGCAGTTGATGCCACCTTTGTGGCAATGACAAGTGGTGGCTGAAAGGCAGAGGGCAGATGCAAGTGCACTATACTTCTGTTGCTTGTGCAGATTATTTACCACAGAAGGCAATGTCCAGGCCCACTATTTCTGAAGATATTCTCTTCTTTCCCTTCACTGCTCTGAAACAGGGGGATCCAGTAAAGTCTTGCTAACCAGTAGTTTTCTCTGGTGTATATGTGCTTCTCTACGTGAAAATAAGTTTTACAAATGCAAGTCAAAATTTAGTGAAGCCATATGGAAACATAAAGAATATTTGAGTGTCCTGAGTCAGACAGGGAAAATGACAGTTTCGAATTCATTTTGGAATTTGAATTTGAATTTGGGTGAAGTATTCACATCAGCATGTTATCCAGTATAGTATAAATGCAGTTGCGTGAGTCAATGTTGAATGTATTACTGTATTCGTGCACTCATGCCTTGCCTTTCCCAGAACAGGTGTCTTTCTTAGGTGTGCTTGAAGTATAGTATGTTTTCCCCATGTCAATTTATTTGCGGTTTGAAATTTTTCTTTTCTCTCCAATACAGTCTCATTGCCTCCTAGTGTGTGAAACAGGTATTATTTTGAAAGTTTCAAAAGAATTTCCCATTGCTTTTATTACATTAGTGTATATTATCACCATTCTCATCAGTTGTCCACAGTGCCAGTGTGCAGAGGGAAGCACTTGATACTAATCTATGAAATGTGTTAGAAGAAATGTGTGGTGATATAAGCATTAAACCACTTAGAGAATTTTCAGATAATATCTTTTTTTTTTTTTTCTTTTGTAGTTCATGCATCATGAGTGATTCTGCCTCTAGTGGAAATGGTCAAGAGTTTGATGTATTTAGTGCAATGGACTGGAAGGATGGCATAGGTACTTTGCAGGGAAGTGACCTAAAGGTAAGATTTGTAATTTTTTTAATAAGCGAAGTAAAAAAATCTTAAATGCCAAAAGAATGCATTTCAAAGCTGGCATGTAGGTATCTTCTCTTATGAATAAAACATGAATCTGCAGTTCTGAGTTAAGAGACTGTAGCCTGTTAGGTTTTAGTGCTGGAGTTTCCTGATTCAGTTTGTGGTGCTGGCACAGACAGCCGTCATCCCTGTAGGAAGGCATAAATTAGCACTGCCTCACTATATAGGCAGAAGTAAACAAGTGCACCAGATCCCAAAGAAATCTCAAAAAGTGTGAAAATTCAGTCCACTTAAAACATTTTATTACTGTATCACTAAGAAACTTTATACTGTCATTGAGTCTTGTGGTCTTATATTCTTAGTTCTTTTTATTTCTAAAAATAGCTAATTTTTACTGTGCTTTTGTCATGTGGGTGCCTAGAAAAAATTAATGAAGTGAGTGCTTCTGAACTTAGTACATTGTAGAGATTGGAATTATATTGGAATAGTACTTTTAACTGATTTTTTCATAGTGGTTTTGTTTAATAAAGTAAATTAGAACAATTTTATTTTCAGATTGTTTTTATTTATCTGATACTTTCTACTGTGTTGTCAGAAGGTGTCCTTTCCTGTGTTTGCAATTTTCATATTAGAGACTTTCTTGCACCTATTTCCTGTTGATTATAGTCAATATTTTCATACCATTCAGTTTAAACTAACACTGATGAGTTTTCATCATAGTTTACTATTTAAAGAGAATCTTACAGGAAAATGTGTGGGGTTTAGAAGAACTGTTTATCTCTTGGAGACTGATAGGATTTCTATTGTTGTAGTAAAGAGTCAGAAAGTGTTTGAAATTGAGGACACAGGTTGCAAATATGGTTGTGTGTTGGTGTTTTGGTTTTTTTGGTTTGGTTTTGTTTGTTCTGTGTTTGTTTTTGTTTGGAGGGTTTTTTTAAAGCACAGAACAGTGGAATAAATTCACAAATAATCTTTTTTGCAGAGGTCTTCAGGACACCACTTAGAATGAGTACCCCAGACCTTAGGGTTGCCTCAGGGCGACTGAGATCAGGTTGCTCAGGATTTGGTTATCTCTAGGGTTTGAGATACCACAGTCTCTCTGGGCAACTTGTTCCAGCATTTGTCTACCCTCATAGTATTTTTTTCCTTTTATGGATATTTTGTTGGAATTTCCCCTTTTGTAGCTTGTGCCTGTTGCCTCTTGTCCTTTTGCTGTGCACGTCTGAGAAGAACTGGGCTCCATCTCCTCTATGTCCCCCCATTAACTACTGAAAGACAGCAGTGTAATCTCTTCTTCTGTTCTTAAGACTGAGCGAATGGATTCATTCAGCGTCTCCTTGCATATTGGCTGCCCCTGCTTGTTTTGGTGGACTTGCTCCAGTATGTCGGTATCCTTCTTGTACTGGGCACAGTAGCCCACAGATGATCTGTGGAATGGATATGTAATGCATTCCCTTGTCCTGCTGGCTGCCCTCTTGCTCAGGCAGCCCTGGGTGCTTGTGGCTGCCTTTGCTGCCTGGGCACATTGCTGACTCATGTTCAATTCCTAGGTTTTCTGCAAAGCTGCTCTCAAATAGTCAGCCCCTGGGCTCTGCACAGCTGCTCGGTTCCAGGTGCAGGGCCTTGTGCTTGCTTTCTTAGACCTTCATGGTATCTTGTTGGCCCATTTTCTTCAGCATGTTGAGGTCTGTCTGACAGCAACCCTGTCCTTCAGTTTCTCAGCCATTCCCTTCAATTTGGTAGTTTGCTTTTGCTGCCTGTACATACAGAGAAGCCTTTCCTGTTGCCTTTGCTAGTTTATTCTCTGGCTGAGCTTTGGATTTCCTAATTTCATCATTGTATGCAACAGCAATATCACTATATACCTTCTGTGTATAAAGTTTCCTGTTCTATATTTTGCTTACCTCCTTTTCCTTTTGAACTGAGCCAGAAGTCCCTAGTTCACTCATGTTGGCCTTCATCCACATTTGCTTAACTTTTTGCACATTGACATGCATCATTCTCCTGGTTTGAAGTGTCTGGAGAGAGAGCCAGATATCCTGGGCCTATTTACCCTTGAAAACATTCTCTTGTATGATCCTGCCAAGCAGATCTCTGAACAACCCAAAATATGCCTTTCCTGAAGTCCACTGCTGCTGTTTCGATATTTGTTTTGCTGGCTTCTTGCAAGATTTCAGACTTCATCTCGTGGTGATGATGATAGCCAAGGTTATCATCAGCCTCCGTGAGCAGTTCTGTATTTTTAAAAAATGTCCAGGCTTTTAATATTCCCTTCTGTTTTAATAAGCAACATTGTGTGAAAGGCAGCCATAATATTGAAATGTTTTAGCAATACAAAAGGGAACAATGCAGGAATATATAATAATAATAATAATAATGATCTCCTATAAATCATTGGTTTGTGCTTTGTTCAGTTGTGGTTACCCTATTTCAAAAGAAACCAAACCAAAGCAATGGTTGAGTCATTCATTAGTAGAGGAATGGGAAAGCTCCCATACAAAGTGAGGGAAGGGACTGAAGTAGCTGAGGGTAACTATAATAAATCAAGTAAGAAGATTCTTAACTATGTCCTATTCAGGAAAGCATGCGTTTCATTTTAAGGCTGTTCTTCTGGGATTTTATTTATTTATTTAATTTATTTTTATTTGGAAACAAACAGATTCTTGATTTTTGGACAGAGATTCTTTCTTTGGTCCAAGCATTAGGGAAGACACAGTCAGAGGTGCAGTAGTAGTCTACCCAGAATGATGAAAGATACACTGTATTGACAGGCAGCTCATTTTGTTTGGGTTATTGCTTGGGATTTTTTGTTTGTTTGTTTGGACTTTTTTAAATACAAAAGCAGGGGGTTTCTGGATGCAGTTGAAATGGAGCCATTTTAACACTGACCAAAGGAAAAATGTTTTCTAACAATGCAGACTTAGTCTGAGGAGGTCACTGGATCAGGGAGCATTAAAACTAAGTGAAAGACTTAAGTACTTGTTTACATAGATAGCAAAACAATTTAAGCTGTTAGAATAAGGATTTTTAAGTTTTAAGATAGTTGTAAAAACTTATTTTTCAGGGTTTCTTCTAAATACTGATGGTGCAAATGGTGATTAATTCATTAAAACTGTAAATGTGATTGTTGTAAGAGACTTTTAAGAAATGTTTGTTTCAGCATTGCCTGGCTTGTTGTGAGGCAAAGGCCTGGTTGATTGCCTCAAAGCTAGCTGAGCCACAGGATGCCTCTGGCCATGGAAATCCTCGAGGCACCATTTTCCACCACCAAAATCCTCCAGGTAACAGGTAACATCCCTTCCAGTGGCCAAGACAACAAGGCACCATTGACCATGTCCACCAGGTGGGGTCATCCCATCAACATCCCCTTTAGCTGCGGAGATCACCGACTGTGTTGTTCAGTGTTGACTGACATCACTTCCTGCTGCTCACTTGCCTGGGCAACCAGTGTCTCCAGTTCCAGTGTCTCATCACTCTCAGAGTAAAAAACTTTTTCCTAATATCTAGCCTAAATTTCCCCTCCTTCAACCTGAATCTGTTACCCCTTGTCCTATCACTGCAGTTTCTATCAGAGTCACTCTCCATCTCCCTTGTAGGCCCCTTCAGATACTGAAAAGTTGCTATGAGGTCTCCACACAACCTTCTCTTCTCCAGACTGAACAGCCCCAACTTCCTCAGCCTGGCTTCATAGGGGAGATGCTCCAGTGCTCTGATCAGTTTTTTGGCCTCCTCTGGACTTGCTCCAACAGTTCCATGTCCTTCTTATGCTGGGAACACCAGAACTGTGTGCAGCACTCCAGGCGGGTCTCATAACAGCAGAGTAGATGGGAGAATCACCTCCTTCAACCTGCTGCCCACAACCCTTTGGATGAAGCTCAGTTCTATCAGAGTCACTCTCCATCTCCCTTGTAGGCCCCTTCAGATACTGAAAAGTTGCTATGAGGTCTCCACACAACCTTCTCTTCTCCAGACTGAACAGCCCCAACTTCCTCAGCCTGGCTTCATAGGGGAGATGCTCCAGTCCTCTTATGAGCTTCGTGGCATCATCCAGACTTGGTCCAACAGTTCCATGTCCTTCTTATATTGAGGGCACCAGAACTGCACACAGTGTTCCAGGTGGGGTCTCATGAGAGCAGAGTAGTGGGGGAGAATCACCTCCCTTAACCTGCTGCCCACACTCCTTTTGATGCAGCCCAGGATTTGGTTGGCTTTCTGGGCTGCTAGCACATGTTGAATCATCTGGGTCCATGATGGTGACTACCTCTGCTTTGGCATACCAAATCTTGCTTAGTTCTAACTATCCCCTTTCCCGTTTCTGACCTTTCTGTCACCCTGTCTCTCCCCCTTGTGTGACCAATAATAAAATCTCACTCCCTAACAGTATTTTGACCTTGTTTGTGTTTTAATTCACGCTGAAGTAATCAATCGAACACTTCCAAGTCTGACGGGAAGGGGACAATTGTGGAAGAGGTGTTATTTTGTTTGTGGAATTCTCAGAAAGGGTTAATGTGGATCATTTACCTGAACTATTCTGATAACAGAGTATTTTACTATTGTGTCCTGAACCTAAAGAAAATGGCCTTGCCTACCAGTTACTTCTTGTGAGCTTGCATTTGTCTTTCAAAAATTGTAATAGACCTTTTCTACTAAAGGTATCAAATCATTGCCATGTATTTACAGCGAAATACAGTTGAAAATTCTGGTGAAAACACTGTAGTAGCAAGAGCCACAAATCCAAATACTCTAGCACCTTGGTAGTAGATTTAAGTGTCTGAGAGGTTTTATATTTTTATTTTATAATAAGCAATAGCTGAACTATCTGTTGCAGATAATGTATTGCTTTTATTCTCACACTTACTCTTTACTTTTCTAAAATGTTAGGAAAAATTGTCTTTGAACACTCAGATTTGGCAAACTATATTGCATGAGCATGTGTTATGTTAAATCTACAAAAATGCTGAAATGCTACTTTTTAATGTAGACAG